CATATATATATATATATATATACATACATGTATATATATATATATATATTTCTATACATATATTTTGCAAATATAATATTGTTATATATTAACAAGCCTTGCAGTTCCATCTCGTGACAATGAGTAAAGAGTTGTGTCGCATTCACAGACACACAAACACATAAAGAATTAAACAGTCACTCCAGGCAAAGTCAACATGTTTCGGAGCTGGTTGGGGAATCCCTGAATACCAGTTCTTCCACTGCACCAATAAAGACTCAAGTGCAAACATATACACAAGAAAATCCTCAAGTCAAACTGACGCTTTCCATTCAAATACAACGCAATAAGCTTACATTGTGTTACACGTGTGTGTGTACACAGGTAAGCTGAGATGAATGGGTGCAATTCTAGATAAGTGGAGGAGAAAAAAAAGTCCTAACCAAAACAATGGTTACCATGGTGACCCAATCGCTGTGTGTCTAAAATAAGGAGGACCTGTTACCCTGGTTACCTGGCACACTGGTGACAGACATATGCAAAGAAGCAAGGGCAACAAAGCTAACAGTCAGCAACGGGCAGCCTGTTCTACACCGACATGATGAAGGTTTCTCATGATCTCTAAAATATCATAAAAGGGAATCTACTGGACGTTTACTCTACTATCTGCAAAGACCTTGAAAGTTTTTATGGATTTGGTGTGAAGACTATGTGTGTATTACATTCCTATTGGTTTTAAAGTGAAGCTGGAAAGAAGATTTCTAGCAATCAGACATTTTACACCATATAGTCGACACTGAAAAATATTTCTCAGATTATAACGGCTCCTGCAGCCGGACTTTTAATGGAATGACTACGTCCACTTCCTATATGCAGTCTATGCCAGGAAACTCTATTGATTTTACTGGACTCTAGACCAACACAACGTGAAACAATTGTGAGATGTCATGTTGCACAGTATGATTTATGTTGATACGACTCAAGATTACTGTCTTTAGGTAGGCAATACTTGTGGTATGATAGTTGGATTTTCATTAAAAGGATGACAATCTTATAAGCAAAAACCCATACAGTATGGAGCTCAAGTTACATTACTCAATTACAATTTTGGCTGCTGTCCACTTTCCAAAGTCAGCACCTTGCAATAGTATTACATTTCAACTACCACTTCTTGGCAAACACCAAACAATTCCACTTTGCACTGCAGCTGAAGAGTAACATACTGAGGAGGAAAATTGAGGTTTGACACCTTCTGAAAGCAGCTCACGTAATCTGTGCAAAGCCTTAGATGATAAATCATTAGTCACATCAAATAAATACTCAGGACAAATAAGGTCAAAGTCTGCTGTTGTGCACAGGAAGTAGAGTTTCAGTTGATGTGTAGTCCCATAGCAGTGGTAAGTTGCATTAATATATTTTATTGATTATGTCTAAGCCAGTCCAACGGAGACCACAATGGCGTTAGGCGGTCATTGAACAGTTCTAAGTCTGGATTCTTGTATAACTGAATAACTGCAGTTAAACAGTTAACAAGACTGGTGAGGTCAGTGGAGCATGGGAGAAGAGGAAGTGTTTTATCTCTTTTGTCACTCACTCTCAAACACATGTCCACTATGTTAAAGTGCCTGAAACTGAAACTTAATATTATGAGTAATATCAGGACAGTTAATGTAAATAGAATTTCAATGGGTCGTTTACACAGGTGGACATTAGGGCTGCACCTTATGTTTCTTCTCACTGCAACAATGTTAAATAATTAAGTTAGTTGCCAAGCAGTTATTTGGGTTAGTTTGAGTAGAGGCTCACAAACGATTAGGTACCTATAAAAATACAAATAGTCATTGACAGGTTAAGTACTTTCCAAAGCCTGAGAGGAAATTATCAAAACGTCTGAGATTTGTGTAGACCTTTGCAGATGATGCTGTGATTTACTTCCTGTATTTGTCACACAACAAAAATTGAGGATTTGGTAGAGTCAACTGATGATGGTTGTTAATAAAATGGCTGACCTTAAAAATAGATAGTTTATATGTCAAGTATTAGTAACTTAATGCTCTATTTGACGTTTGAGTTGATTTGTAGCCTTTGTTTTATATTGATTGAGGAATATGATCCGAAATAGTTTTTGATTTTTGATTCAAATGTTATAATTATAACATCAAATGGGGTCAAAACAAATCTCATGTGCGAATATATGTTAATTTTGACGCCAACATGAGTGCAATTTAGTCAAATTAGCCTAGAATACATAATTGTTATAATACGTCCTTTACGTGTAAGACAGATCATTTAGCCGCTCATAAAGACTATATTGTATTATTTTAATGCCATCTGTAAAATATAAACTATGACGTAGATAATATGTTGAGATCCTTGGATATTGTAATTCATTAGCTTTAGCATTTAGCTCCTATGTTAGCAGCCAAATGCTAAGTTCTCTGGGTGCGGCAATGACTAAGGTCAAAACCATATGTAAAACATTTTCTCGGGAAGATAACAACGTGTTGTCCCGGTGCCGTTTGACCGTATAGCAGACTCTACCTGAGGATTATTTCCAGAGAGCTCTCGTGTTTGTCCAGAGTTCTTATCAACGCACTTCTACGGAGCTTATCCAACTCTTCCACGGCTCGTATGTACTCTGTGTGGTCGTCACTCCCAGAGTATGTGGCCGTTACAAACTTCGACAGCGGTTTCACCAGGTCCACGTCTTTCGACTTCTTTAACGGGACCCAAATAAACGTCGCCATTTCTCCCCGTTTAAGTGCTATATCTGCTCAGAAAAATCTGAAACGATTAACGAGCCGAGGAACACAAACAACAGCAGGAGACCCACTTCCTGGATTCTGACTAGAAACGTCAGATGACGTCATGTGGGACGGAGAGACGCAGTATGAAACTGACGTTTATGACGTACATTGTTTTGCCTTAATAAAAATGACTTAATCTGGTTTACGTATTATAATCAAATGAGCAGAAAGATAAATTAGCATTCATTTCAATGAACTTGTCTTTTCGTCTTCCTTTAATCTTTTAATCAATTTTTCTTGTTGTTGCTGATCTTTGCCCCAAATTACTTTATTCCCTTCCGACTTTCCTATCTTTAAGACTTTCTTTATAATAAACTGTCAGAAATGTGCCTGTATGTGTGCTTTTTAAGTTGATTAAGTACGTTTAAACTGAAAGTCCGTACTAAAGGTTGCATAGAGAAACCACACACGTCTAATTATCACCCCCATTGGTGAGATATAGAATTACTAAAAAATTTTAAAAAAATTCATAATGGCCGTTGTGCATCACTTGGATTTGATGTTTGGGTTTTGTTGAATATTTTGGGATCTTAAAATGCAATTTGCTCATCTATGGCTCCAGACACCTCTATGCCAGAACATTGTACTTAATTTACTCCCTGGACACAAGACTGACACAGAGATGTCTCTGATAAGACTGTGCTGGGTGATTATCCCTATGAATATTCACAGCTTTCCAAGTAACTCCCAGAACACATGACCCAGTATGGCTAGAAAAATGCTAAATTATATTTACGTGAGGTGTGCCCTGCCATGCCCTTTGAGACAGTCAGGTGAGAGTGAGCAGATGTTCTGACTTCTGCAGGATGCAGATAAATTGCTGTGTCTCTGGTAAATAACTGCAGCATCTGTAGTCTCACCTCAGCCCACACGAGATTCAGCATCTGTTTCAGTGGATTTGGTGGAAATTAGCACAATTCTGCGTTCAACATCTGCCGCCTGTCTGTCAGACAGGTGTTTGGTTCTCCAGTCTGTTCACTGAGCCCTAATGTGGTGTCAACCAACTGTCCAACCAGAGAGAATCATAAATCTACAATGTATGCTTTAATATCAGAAAACGCTGCATTTAACATTGTATTGTTTATAAGGGAATGTGCTGAACTGGCCAAAGTGTTGTTAAACAGTCGTGTATTTGATAAAACCCATATAATAGTGTGATATCTCATTGGCCACTGTCCAAAATCCATCATCTAATAATGCATGTGAATTCTTTATTACATTGATATTGAGCACAGATCAATATGCAACCGCATCTATGAAGATTTTATATCTTTATTTTAAAAATGTAGTTTAAACTACTCTCCCATAATAAATGCATATACTGTAAAATGTTAATTCATTAAAGGTTTCAACAAAAGGTTTTTTAAGTTGTCCTTAAAATGAATTAAGGAAACAAACTAATTTGAGGTAAGCTGGTACCGAAAAGTACTTAGAGATATGTAGTTTATAGGGATGTGTATCTGGTGATACAATAAATATCACAATACAGGGAAAAAAATAAACATTTCATTTATCATCTTAAACAATTCAAAGTCACAATAAATGCAACAAGAGAATGGAGAAAGATATGAAATTGTTTATTCCCAGCACGTGGTTGTGTACACCTCCAGCATGTGCACATAAGAAGCATCTTCACCAACAGCAGGCTGTACATCAACAGTGGTCACCTCTCCTGCTCACTCATTCTAACACGCATACATACATACATACACACACACATACACACACACACACACACTTGCTCATACACACATACATTATTGGTCAGGGTGTCAGGGAGTGAAAACAGCTGACCAGAGTTTGCCCGACTTCACATCCACTCCATTTTCACTATATATTTTAAAATTCTTTGAACAGTCAACTGTGCTGTGGTTTTTAGGTTCAGGGAACCACCACAGGAAAACTGGGCTCTGACAAATACAGACGTTCTTAGTCTCGACACCCCCCCCCCCCTCCCCATTTTTCCCATTTTCTTTTCGGTAGGTGAATGAGTGTGGCTGTAGGACTACGGACTACACATCAAGCATTAGGGTTTGTATTTTTTTTTTTTCAGTGCAGGCTTGGTCTTTGACATCAAGAAAAAAAAAAGAAGCTACACTCACCAAAGACCAAGCTATTCCTCCCTCCCCTCCCCGTCTTCCACATGCTCTTTACTAAACAGCAAGCTTAACACAGTGTCATTACATCGACAACAAAAAAAGCTTGTGACAACTACAGACATAATCAAGTTTTTCATGTATGAACAACAAAACAAAAAACATTACGCACACATAACGCCTGACTATTAGAAGCGTGCAAACTGTACACTTCAACGCTGCCAGATATCGTGCTTTAAAACCTAGAGGGTTAGGGTAAACCATCAGCGACTGTCTGCTCCCCGCTGACAGGTGAGGTTACCATGGACTCTGCAACATGAGGACACTCGGAACATTTCACCTGCACTTCCTGTGTTTAGCTACATTGAACACAGAGGTCAAAAGAAGAACGCGGGGCTACCTTTAAGACTATTGAATCGAGGCTACAGCACTGATGCATTTCCTTGCAGAGCAGATGCAGGAATGGTTCCACGAGATGTGGGTTTGTGTCGCACTGCGAGAAGTTTCTCCAAATGATTCTAATACCCAAAATGCGCAGAGTTGTGAGAGGAGCTGGAACGTGTTTGGTCCACACTGCTGAAGATTGTTGGAGCATAATCTAAGCATCAGCCTTTACCAAGGATCGACAGCTAAAAAGCCCTGAATGTATGAGCCCCACAGACACTCTTTTATAATGTGTTAAAAAGTAGGCACAGAAAGCAGAAGAGACGAGGAGGTGTATGTGCTCTGTGTGTTGACACAGCGAGGACAAAACTGAGCTGAAGGAAATTATGTTATGGCACAGGTGGGAGCAACTGAAACAGTCCATCAATAAATAAAGCATCACCTAAAAACAATAAAAGCAAAATGAGTTGGACATATGCCAAGAGCGCAAAAAAATGTTTAAAAAAAAAAATCATACATGATGTCACTGAGGTCAGTCTTTTTGACCCTCCGTCCCCCAAAAATTAAATTATTAATATCCACCTGCTCCATATATTTAGCCTGGATCGTGTATGTGCTGCCCAGCAAAAATGATCAATAAGGGTTTTAATAAAGCAACCCGGACCCAATGTTGAACAAGCAGAGTTAACTGGGATTTTCCTTCAAGCAAGTTAGTATGTTGAGATCACATGCCATTCAGCAGCACAGGTTTTTAAATACTGGCCTTGTGCTGTTTGTGCGCATTGTGTACGACGGGCAACGAGCAATACGGAAACTTTTTTTTTCTCCTTCTCCTGCCAGCAAACGCCATCATCGCTTCCGCTCTCTCTTGGAGCCACCTCTCTCCCTCTTCTTCAGCATATGAAAAAAAGGCAAAAATTAAAATTAAAACACACAGAAAGACTTCTATCCGTTGCTCTTATCCTGGATCCCAAGTTCTCCCAGTCTCTCCTTCTTTAACTCTCCTCCATTAATAATGTTTTCAATATGAAACAGTGGACACACCCATGTCAGATTCTAACAGTTACATGGTTTTAACTCAGTCTTTCTGATAGCCATCGAACCATCGGTTAAGAGAGAGGGACAACGAGAGAGAGATAGGACGAAAAAGGAAGGAAAACGTAGAAGCAGGGACAGAGGGAGGCCTCCGCTCCACGACAGAGGGTGGAGTATTAGTGATGCCATCTGTCCTCATCACTACTTCAGAATTAGATGTAGTCCTTCGCCAGATTCATCTGGAAGAGAATGAATAACAGAATATTAATTTTAGATGAGGATTATTTGACCACTTCATGCCAAAGTATAGTAAACAAGAAAGCTGCAAAAATATCTCTACCTTTGACAGTGCAGACCAAAAAACAGCTCTCGTCAGCCAAGTTGTAAACCATCTGGAATAAAACAGTAAAGTGACAAACAACAGCTTCTTTAATGTCACAGTCAAAGTGCAAAACAATGGACAAACACAAGCTGTGAACACAAGCTGAGCCTCTGTACCTGAGGAGTAGTGGAAAGATTATTCTATCGTCTGGTGTTTGAAAAACTTTACACCAAATATATTGGCAGTGTAAGCTCAGAAACAGAAACAGCTAGGTTTAAAATTTCAACACAGACAAAACTTCAGGGCCAAACACACCTCACATTCCAGACTGAAATAGAGTTTTCTTTTTTAAATGTTTTCAAAGTTTCCAACCAGATCATTTAACTCTGGTTCAAATATGTAATGTTTTGCTCTGAAACCTGATCAAATAAAACATCAGAGAATTCAATAAAGACACAAAGTAAAATCAGAGCTTTTTGAGACGTGTCTAAAGATGTTTTAGTAACTTAAAAACCTTTTATTAGTAAAAGAACTGTCTTGGAATGTTTTGACCAATTTTCGTTTGACAGCTACAAAAAGAGAAAGCATGGTTTCATACCTGGTCACTCAGCAGGATGTGTATGCCTGTAGGACCCTGTCTGTACACCTGGTTGATTTTCCCCAGTGGCAGACTGCACACGCCTGCCATCTTTCTGATCAACTCTGCAGCTGTCAGCTCCTCTAAGTACAGAGCATGGTAGACTACACACAAACAGAAAAATGCTTTTCATTCCCCATACAGAGTCCCTTTAACTCAGTACACCAAAGACTAAGAAAAGTTTCTATTTTGTACCCCGTAAACTAGAGGAGATGTTGTGATCTCCGTTTTCATTGGTGCCATGTGTCTCCAGCAGAGGGCTCTCTTGAGGCGACTCTTTACAGACATATACAGTCAACCTGGGACACACTGACCTGCAAGTGACACACAACAAGAAGACATATATACCATATATTTATACACAACAGCACAGCGCTGCTTTTATAGCGATGTTACTCAAAGACATACACACACCTGGATTTAAGTGCATTGAAGAGTCGGATACCGTCTGCCGGCCCACAAATCTGGACCAGGTCGTCCCGGGTTAGCTTCAACAAATCAGAACCTGTACCACGCCAGAGGAGCAGTCAGAGTCACTTGTACTGCTGTTGTGGTGTTCGGACTGAAAGTGTGCATCATGGCGTGTGAAGTGTGTACCTGAGAAGTGAGAGAAAAGTCGTGCGTAGGAGTTGAAGCGGTTTTTCTGCAGCCACTTCTGTGTGTCCTGGATGGACGCGGTGGGACTCAGCTGCTGCTGCTGCTGCTGCTGCTGAGGATAGAGACGCAGAGGATGTCAACACATGGACAGAAACATGTTTTCGAAATCCTCTACATACTCATTCAAGTGAAGTGATGCATCAAGTTGTTATTATATATACTCATTTTCATGTTTTGGTCAAACATTACATCTTTAGCAGTAATGTATTTACAGGAGTTGTCACAAGTAGAATTTCTTTAAAAAACAAAACAGACCTGTAGTAACAAGGTAAAATCATGTTTTTTTCATGAGAGAATTAGTAAACCTCTCAGATTCCTCTGCTGTAACAATGTCTTACTGCATTAATCAGTAAACGTCAGACACCAGTGAAAACATCTCAGACTACAGTCCCATTAACAGCAGCTCACTGACACTGTCTGTGTTCTGCCAGAGTGTGTTAACGTACAAAGCAGGAGAACAGGACTCGGTGAGAGCTGAACTCAACTCATTATTACTACACTGGGTTTATAGGAAAACATTCATTCTTCCGGGGAGCCGACTTACCTCAGAGTTTCCATGGCTGCCAGGGTCTGCCTGGTGATTAGGAGAGGACGAGTCACTAGAAAACAAGAGAGGAGTTGAGCGAGAACCAGTAATGGGCCTGTCACAAAAACATGGCACAGATTAGAACGCACTTAAACCAGAATTTGGAGTCGACACTTTGCTTCCCATTTAAAACTAAATCATGACAATGTAAATATATCAGTTATGATGTGATTGCCCCTGGAAATGTTAAATAAAAAATACAAACACATACATACGTAACATAATGCATAACAGCAGTTTGTTTCTCAAAGTTTGATAAAGTTTAACTGATTATATAAAGCAATTTGAGACAAATCTTTGTCAGATGTTCACACAATCGGATGTGTTTTTTTCTCTCCCGTGCATCAATTGCTGCCTCTCTACTACGAAGGAAACAGTGCTGCTGGTCAGTATGTCTTTTTCACCACTCCATTTCCAGGTTCACTGCCAGTTACTGAGCAACAGAGCATTTGATTTTGATAGTAAACTGTCAGAAAGAGAGTGTGCGTGGTCAGAAACAGTTCTATTTTGGAACATTGTCAGGTTCATACTTCATTTGACCTCAGCTGCCACCCTGTAATAATCTACGTGTATAACCCACTGCACTGCAACACATTCCTGTAGCAGACTCATAAGAATCAATTAACACCCCGATATGAAATACGTACAGATAACTAGCAGGTTTATTTTTAACCATACATCAAAATATAAATATATATCGACCATCTGGTGCTTCATTTCATGGCTGTAAAAAGCACAAACCAGAACACGGACTCACAGCTTTGTCACAAAGTCACAAACTCAGTGACATTGTATGGACTTACAGGAATATAGAGAAGACCTGAGCCTTATTTATACTCTGTTGCACAACACTAAATGTGTCAAGCAACAAAAATTGTCATGGGAAAAAAAGACATCTTTTTGCAGACACTGTCATATCCTGGTACGTAATGTGATTAGTCGTCATCTCTACTGTCAACAACCACCAGAAACCTTCCTGTTGCTCGTTTGTAACAACACACTGCTCACCTACTGGTGTCTGTGTCGTTTAAAAAAAAAAAAATCAACCTCTCAGCTACTTTGACCACTAAAGTTGTGTTGTTTAACAGACTGTAAAAACTTTTGTGGGAAAACTTGAATAATTTGATCCTTAACTCATGACTTAACACAATCGATGGTGCTAAATCCTACCAGATTATTTTAATTGTATGACAGTCCTATTAAATATATTGGAAGGTGTTGATGGATATATAAAAAAAATCTAAGCAAATATATTTATTACCTGTCAGGGACAGAGTTGGTGGTGTAGGTGGACAGTGGGGTGTTGGTGAAGGTGGGAGTAGCTGCCTGGTTAGTGCTGACGTAGGCGTTGTCTGGCCAAGGGGAACACTAAGAGAAGACACACACATTTAAATGTAATGAAACCCTAACACAGAAATCATCATTTTCTAGTATTTGCAGCTCTAGTGGCTAACATTTGGAGTTCTTACACTTCCTCTTTTCGCCAAGGAGTCACCACAGTCAGCACGAAGTGTCCGTTTGCTGGATTTCTTCAGCTCGTGATCACATGCATCCTCTATGATGGGTTCAAGCCTTGTCTGCACACATGATAAGAGGTGTGACCAGAGAACAAGCAACAAACACAATCATGAACCTACACTAAAAACAGACCATCACTGGGTGAGTAACTAGTGTGTAATATAGTAAGCAGTATTTCTGTTTAATAGAACACAACTGTACCAAATACTGTTATGACTCATTGTGTATTTTTGCAGATGCCTACATTAAAAAACTACTTGTGCATCAAGGGACTAATTCTTCTTTCTGCAGCTGGAACTTCATTATTCAAAACGACCTCAGATCAATGACTCAACGCCTTTTGGGGATATGGCAACACGCCAGCTGCACTTAAACTCTCTGAAAGGAAACCAAAAATTCTTCCCTGTGGTTTGCCAAAAAAATCTCAGAATTATACAGGACCACTGTCAACTTTTGAACCTCTCGGTCTTACTGTGGACTTAGGTCAGTAAACAACAAACAGAAAAAGTGTCTCTCATTGGTCTTTTGATGTATATGTGTTCCATATACTTGGATACATATAAGAACAGCATCCTGAGGCCACAGAACTTGACCGGCATACTGACCTCTGATAGTATAGTGGTATCGTAAGAAGGCTGGTACTTTTCCTTCTCTTGCGGTGTGCGTTTCTCCATCTTCTCTCGATCTGTTTTTTGCTTACGGTCGGCCCCCTTTGGCTACACCGGAAACACACAGAGACAGACTTAATTGCTGGGAAGGGTGACACGTGGGCAACATCAAGGTATAATTTCTGTCTGTGGAAACATCTTCCCTGTGAAAGAATGATTGCACACCTTAAAGACTTTGATTTGGCAGGAGGCAGAGTGGATGTGCTCTGTGTACTCTCCATTTTCTCCCAGGGCAAATGTGTCAATCTGGATCCTGAAGGGGACGCCCTTCTCCCCGCCATGTTTCCTGGGAGTGAACTCTGTGCTGATGCAGTGCACCTGCAAACAGAGATACATTCTTTTGCAAAAAATGATTTTTGCACCTGATGTAGAAATTCAGAAGTACATCTACCAGAGTGCACACGAGAGGAAACTATGCGTGTCTGGGAGAGAAGGCGAGTGTGTGCGTGTTACCTGCACAAAAACAGAAGTCCTTTTGTTCATGTCCCACAGGAACTCTGCGGCGTTGAGCTGCGAGGGATGCGTCTTTGGTTCCACAATGCCCACTGACATGGGGATATCTGGCGGGCATACACAAAAATAGATTCTATTTTTGAAACAAAAAAATATCACAGCCGGGACCATCAACGTAAACACGTCGTGTCAAGCATCATTACCGATGTCAAGGAGACGGTCACCGGGACGATTCCACTTCCAGCCCTCCAGCTGCTGGTGCTCTGTGTACTGCAGTCGACGGTCGTGAAATACCACTCTCACTGTGCTCTAAATGCAGGCGCACACAAACACCCACTAGGTTAGGGGCAAATGTGAGCTCTGTCTAAAATGTGCTGTTTATAATCTGAGAAAGTTGTCTCACCTTCACCATCTTGTTGGTGAGTTCTGGTAACTCTCCTGCCTTCCTGTTATCCAACATTCTCACCTCGTAAGACTGGCCTAAAAGAGAAGGACAGAAACCATGATCATATTCTGTGCTGGTTCGAGGTTCCTCTCAAAAGGCCACTGGAACTTTCACAACCTTCAATGGGTTACTCCTGATCTGATTCAAGCAGAAAATGTTTACGTTAGATTTGATTTGTTTTCTGTTCAACATAACTGTTAACACTGTATAACATATTTTCTTATCACAGTTTAAAAAAATGTACTGTTGTTCCAAAAGGAAACAGCAGAGGCTCCCAAATACCTTTGCATCAAACCTGTGCACCACACCAAAGTGTGCTTTGCTTAAATGAACCAGATCCAAGCACAGGGACACAGCAGAAGTAGAAACATTGAACAAATACACTCCTTGCTGTCTCTCACCTTGGTTTAGGTATGTGAGCGTCTCGTCGTGCAACTTGACAGCAGGCGAGGTGGCGGTACACAGCACATACTGGAATGGAGGATTTTTGGTCTCATTTTCACTAGGAAGGCTTGAGTCCTCCTGCTTGAAGATCGGCAAAGCCAGCACATCGCTGAAAACAGCAGGAGACAAACAAATACATCTGATACGAAGCAAAAGTTGTAACATATTAAACATAATCTACTCATAAAAGATTTTCAAATTGAACCAAAGAGACTGAAACAAACCTAATTTGCTGAATTTGTTTTGATTTCAGCACGTCAGACAGAAAATGTATTCCTTCTGGATTGGGTGTTCATGTTTACAACTTTCTCATTATCTCAACACAACACTTTGAGCGGTTGGAACCATTTACACTGGTGCACCATTTTCAGAAAGACAATACTGCCAGGGGAAGGTGTGTGGAATTATTAAATGGTCTGGCTTATTTTAGAAAAAGTGATGCAGACTCTCCATCGATCAAATGCCTCTCCTATTACCAATGCATGAGGCTGCAGCGGGATTAATGAACAAAAACACCCACAGATAGCCTGAGCTGCTGACACATACTATCTCACGCTTGGCAGCCACTCTAGACAAGCAACCTGTCCTCGGTTCACCCTGACAAATGCTACAGGAGTGTCAACGAGGGCACAGTGAACGGGAGTGTGTGCCTGTGTGCAGATCTGTGTGCAAAAAAAAAAAAACAACCCAAAAACACCATCCCTGCAAAGACTTGTAGCTCATGGCCTCTCATTAAATGAAAAACTTTCTGGCATGTCATGGAGCTTCTCTATAACTGAGGCACATAAAAAAAAACCTATCTGACAGTTTCAACACATTCTTGCTGCACATTCCTATAAATGCCAGGATGCCAGGAGGAGTCTGTCATCATTGTCTCTTATGTTTCTGCCAAGCTGGGAACCAAAAGTGTGTTGTGCCCTGCTACAGAGGGAGAGGAAAAAACTTCCTGAAACCTGAGGACCCAGTTCCACAGAGGCACGCTCAGACATTCTGTTCCTACCAACTGACTCCAGTGCCCTGCAACCCAGCCCACCACCACAGAGAGCACACCACTTCAGCAGCCAGTGACACCAACTACTCTCTCATCACTGGAGTTTACCGCCTGCTCTCACAGGACAGGCACACAGATAAATGCACTCTGAAGGCAGATGGCAGACAAGGTGGCTGATAAGAAACAGGTATGACCAGGCACATTCACGTTCCTACGTCACAAATATACTCTCACCTCCCCAGACCGTTCACAAATTACAGTTCACACTTAGTTTGAAAATTAAAACAGGTGGTTTGTATCAGATCCAGTTTAGGCCACTGTAGTAATTCAAACCTCTTGAATAAGATAAAAAAGTAATCCTGACAAAGGGTAATTTGCTGATGAGTAAAATGCCATAATTATGGAAAAAAGTAAATGCTATGTTGCAACCAGAGTTCACACTGGGTGTGAACAGTTCTTAAGTCATCTTAATTTATTTCCTTGTGATGGCTGCACCTGAAACCTTAGAAACATCAAGAACAATACAGGCTCTGTACATGTTTACTCTGGTACAGACAGAAAAGAAAAGTTCATAATCCTCTAATGTGGGAACTATAATATAGATGGGTTTTAAATGAATGCAGTGGATTCTTAAAAACAGGCTGTGTGTGTGAAATGTGAAAATTCTTCTGCTACCTTTCTCTTTTAAATGCCAGGCTGTGTGTGTGAAATGTGGAAATTCTTCTGCTACCTTTCTCTTTTAATCCCACATGAGAATGCACAGATGCACTTTAGAAAATACTCCTGAAACACCAGTATTTTTGCTGCATTATGCTACATTCAGATGAAGTAAGAAACTGTAGTAATTCCTACCTATGTTTTGGATGAAGTGGATCTAGTTTTACATTGGAGCCTTGTCAACACAAAAATTTGGATGAAGATTTAATTTAATTATGCAAATGCACACACTAGAACTTGATGAGGGGTCAAATTACCTCTTTGGCAACTATCTCTCGCCTCAGCTTTTTTTTTTTACAAACATCAAGAAACACTGGATTTCCTTTATATAAAAACATTTCTTATACTATAGAAAACAATCTTGTTTAATGTGTTAATGTGTTAATGTGTCTTATATAGAATGTAATGATTGTTAATTACACCAGAAACTTGAGGACCTGAGGAAAAATAAAAGATAATCATTTCCTTGTTTAATGTGTTCTTATATAGAATGTAATGTTTGTTAATTACACCAGAAACTTGAGGGCCTGAGGAAAAATAAAAGATAATCATTTAAGTGAGGTTAAACATCACTAGGCAGAGCATTAAATAAGTGCCTGCAGGTTGTAACGTAGCTGCTAAGTGTTGACTAATGGCACAACATTATCACTGACCACTCCATGGTCAGGATAAATTTAGTCATGAATTTATTGGTGAGAGAACTAACTTAATTTGCATAGACTGGTATATAAACCAAACTACTTCATCATTAGGAACTGCAGACTGTCCTGTTAAGTTGTGTGTGTACATTATGTACACACATTATGTGTATATTATACAATTATAAAACACAGTGATTTAGCTTGGCAGCATTTAAAGGACACACCTGCTCCTGATTATTATTATTTCAGGAGATCATACAAAACATCAATCATGTTGTTGTACTGTATGTCTGCCAAGAGAAATGTTGAGTATGTTTCATATAGTGGACCTGTAAATAAAGGGGAATAACTGGTGCTCATGGTGACATTCAAAAGTGTTGGCCAAATATTGTTTTGTTTTTTCCCCCCATCAGGACAAGGAACACATGAGGGCAGAGGAGAAGGAACATGGATTGATCACCTATGACCCAGCACCATCTTTTATCTAATCCTACAAAGAGATTTCACAAACAAGGATAGAGACCTAATCTGATCTTCCTGTGTTAAAGGCCACACAATGACCTTTCCCATTGTTTACCACAGTGTTATGTTTAAAAGCAAATGTGTAGGTCTCTTTCTGTTACAAGCACAGTGTTCACGTTGCCTTTGTTTGGATTTCTAAGAAAACAATCCCTGACCTACTCCATGTCCCAAAACAAAGAAGCAACCACAACCAGTGCAAAGGGAAGAACACGCAGTGGGGAGTGAAATACTCTCGTTCTCCTCCATGACCCACTCCTGGGTTTGTTTTCTAACCTCATGCTGTAGGCTCCAGCCCCTAGCTCCTGCCCGATGCCTGTCAGGCTGGCATCGAAGTCGTGCACCAGTCCCGACTCGATGGTGGCGTCGTCCATCTTCAGGACCCAGGCCATGGGCCCCAGCTCTTTGTCTTCGGCTTCTACTCGTAGGGCCGCCAGCTTGCTGCAGGTAGGGGACGTTGTCCGGTAAAGAAGGAGTTAGCGGAGCTGGTGGGCTCTGCAGCTGCTAGGTGAAGCCGTGAGAGGCGAAAGTTCTGCTGCTACAGCCCGTTAGCCGCTGCTTAGCGAGGAGGGCAGCCGAACTCGTAGTCTTCCACAGAGACACAGAGCACCGCCATTATCTCACTGCAGGGGTTTCATGGAACTTTGTCACGAAACACGCCGCTCCTTAACTGACACTCCAGCAGCGATAAGTTAGAATCCACTCAGCTGCAGAATGTTAGTCGTGACCCACGATGCTAACATGAGCTAACTGCTAACTAGCTCCTGAATTGCGACCTAACACGTTAAATAAGCACCTGACAAAAATGTCAAATATTTTGGTAATAAAATAATAAATAAATAAAATATAACAATGAGTTAACAAACACAGGAAATGTAAGGTAAGTCCACTCGCTGCATCCCACGCAGCGTCTACACAGCTGTTGCTACCTAGCTATCAGCCTCTGTAGCATCAACTTCCTTGGCTTCCGATCAACTGTGTTCACTCCGTAACCTAAGAACGAGGCTCCTCTACCGCTCCCTGTACCGTTCCAGCTCGCTGTCCTCTTCTCATCCCGCTGCCGGAGTCACCACCAAGGCTCCCGTTGCTCTTGCCGCAGTCCTTTAAACAGCCAAAGTGCAGCGGTTGTCACAACTAACGAAGGCATCATCAACATGGCTTCCTACGCTCAAACAGACTCCTGCCAGCAGCAGCCTGAGGACCAAGATGCCCAGGACGACCAACAGCCAATCAGGGCACCCCTCCTGTGCCCAGTGCTGACATATTAGCCAATTAGAGTCTTTCAAGCTGCCGTCATAGTGTCCAACTGTGGCTGCTGTGCAGGAACGTAGCTGCAGCTTTCTTCCTGTACCAAACGCTGTCTTAACATGTATGTGATATTTTAAAAAATGTTACTTTGAAAGTATTTCCACAGTTGAAGTCATTTGTACTTGTGACTTTTTTTATGAGTTACTTTAAATTACATTCCAATATAATCAAAGAATATAACCATAGTAAGACTCTACCAAATTATTATTCCACCTTAACTTAACTTTGAACAATACTAAGGACATTTTAAATTAAATATTTAAATTTAATATTTCGTCTAGTAATTTGGTTTCTGGAACTAAATATTTTATCCAAATCTAATTGTTTGCTAGAAGTTAGTATCATAGAAATCCTAGTTCTTAGCTCTACTTGAGGGTTTTTTGTTTTATTTTATGTTTTTGTTTAGAACTTACTTTAAAACTTTATTTCTACATTAGGGCACAGTGTAAACATTTTACGTGTAACTTCTAAATATCTTTACGTAACATTAAGTCATTAAACAATTAACTTTTTATTACACTACATTTACTGTTTTTTAACCTGTCTATTTTGTCTATTGTTTATCTACTGTTACGTACATTTTGCTCACTGTAGAGTTATAGTTCGTTAACTTAAGTTATATTTAGGATACCTTTCGTAATTTTTTGGCATTTTTTTCTGTTACTTGTCTGTTGTGTATTTTTATATATATATTTATTTATAACAATTATATCGTCGTTCTTTTCAGATCTAGCGGCTGTAAGTTTTTTTAACAGCACCGCTTCCAAGAGCCTAGTAAGTGGAAACAGACCAGAACTTCAATGGTTCTCCACAGTCACCATGAGAACATAGAGTATGAGAACACGGGAGAAGTCACGGTGCACTCAGGTGTACACACGCCACCTGTTCCTCACATGTGAATAAACACACAGAGCAGAAACAACAACAACAACAACAACATGGTGACTCGCCTACAATTTAAAGCGCTGTAAACAACACACGATCGTCTTCGTTTAAAGAATGCAGATGATTAAAATAAGTCTCTGTGACGACTCGTACCGTGAGTAGCTGCTGACGTCTTGTCTCTGGTGAACAGGTTCATTGAAGGTTTCAGTGTAAGGCTGCCAGAACAACATGGTGTCCAGTCCACGCCAAACTCACTAAACAAGTCTGTGTCGCGACACACACGCTGAACTCAGCCCGGTACCGACGAGCAGGAGGGGGCCCTCATGTCTATGCCCCGACCCCGGTCTACTGAAGCTGTTTTCAGACTGGTCAATAATTAGCTCCCGCTCGGACCCTGGACGCTGCTCACCAGCCGTGTTTTTTTTTCTCTCTCTTACTCCTCCTCTCCAGCTGTACTCACACCAAACTATTTTAGTTCTGCTGAGAAGAAGGGCGACCCCACGTCTTAATGTACTGTTAATTTCTACTGCATAAACACTGACACTAAGTGGAATAAATTGAATAATTTACTACTTGCATCAATTCATTTTCTTTTTTAAATTATGTCACAATGTAAACTTCTACATGACTTAATAAGTTAAAACAAAACATAGGAGCCGTTAATACAAGCAAATGCGTGACTGTTTTTTATTATTATTTTTGTAATAGATTAAAAAATATACCATTTTGAACCATTTTTGTCAAACAATCTGAACCCTTGTTGACTTCACAGTAGCGTAGCCTGCTGCATGTACATATTTCTGACAGACACAGGTAAGCAATTTGATCCTGTATCTGCCATATTTAGGCTGTTTTTTTTTAAAAAATGTGTGCCATCATATATTTCGTAGCCAGGCTGTTTTTTTTTTTTTAAATGTGTGCCATCATATATTTCGTAGCCTTATCGTAAATATGAGTACAAAAAACAAATACTACTACAACTACATAACAAATGATTCAATCATTGTTCTTGGACCCCCAAAGAAGAACCCCCCAACATGATCATCCAAAGAAGTATTTCTTTGCACAAACCACATTTTCAAGGGAAATAAAAAATAATGAGCAAACTGTCCAACCGTAACTCTGCTTAAATAATTGTTTGATTCTGTCACCACTTACAGGTGATGAGCCCGTTCTGATACCCAGTGACGGGCAGTGGCTGGACAGAAGGCAGCGAGGTTACCAGGTCAGACTGCTGCTGCAGCAGGGACCGTCTTTAACTGTACCTAAATTTACAGCCCAGGGAGTGCATGCAAACATGAAACTCAGCACCAGGCTTTTAAATAGCTGTGTTGCATAAGGCGTCAGTGTTTATCTTTGCTGCAAGTCCAGATTGATCCAGTTTGTCAACTAATGTTAACTGTTAACAGTTGCCTGCACTCAGAGCCTAATGGCAGTAAAAATTCACACACTTATTCATGCATTATTTGTACTCTCAGTAGTTTGACGTCATCTGCTTGGATGCATCAGAGAAACCACTGAATAAACCTGATTGAAATAAACACGTGTCCATTACATTTTACAGATTAAGTTAAAAAACCCAGAAAATCTCCAGGAAGAGGAAACTGACATCAAAACCCATGAATCAATCCAAACATATCTGTTTAATCTCCTGTTTGTTTTGGCTCTGATTATTGTTATTACCATGAAACACTGTTCCACAGAAAAGACTCCAGAGACTCAACGTTCTTTAATGACCTGTACAAGTTCTTTATTTTATTGTAAGCACAGCTTTGTAAATGCACAGAGGAAAGAGCGGTGAAAACTAGAATGTTACAAGAAGAGGATGGAAAAAAGACACATTGAAGAGGAGGGGAGACAGGAAGTGATGTGATCCATGTTCATCAGAGCTGTAAATAATAATACATTTCTACAATTTTCTCAGCAGAGAAAAAAAAGTGAGATTGAGACAGAGAGAGAAGGGGAGAGAGAGAGAGAGAGAGAGAGGGAGAGAGACTACAGCACGCACAACAGAGAGAAAGAGAAAACAAAGACAAGGCTGGACACAGGTGCGTGCGTGCAACCCCCTTCAGTGACTCTCCATAAAGACACTGTTGTTGGGTAAATCCATGTTAATATCATATATAGATACATATCCACTATGTGATTTTATAATCAGTTGAGTCCCGTCCATACTTTGTGTAGTAAGCCGCACGCACCGATGATCCAAGATGAGCTGGAGAAACGGGGGACACTGCAGGGTCATGTGAAAAGGCCGGACATCTTCACATCGGTTCAGGAACCCGGTCACACTGCTCTGACTGTTAATAACTCAAATAAAAAGTCCTTCCTTTATTTTTTTTTTCTTTTTAAACTTTAATCACATGCATAACGTTAGCACACAACGCCTGGTATGGGTCTGAATCTGCCGAAGTGCTGTATATGCTATGAGCAGGGCATGATCCAGGGTGACTGGCATCAGTACTGTGCAGGGTTGGTCGGTCGTACCTTTTTGGCTCAAAAGCACCTTTGTAAGGAGAAACTGTGTATGTGTGTGTGAGAGAGAGAAAGAGAGAGAGAGAGAGAGAAAGAGAAGGAAACTACAGAGATTAAAAAAAGTCGGCAGCAGTAAAATCTCATTGATTAAATCAAAACTATGACAACACAAATTTACATTCCTTTCTACCTGGCTCCTCTTAACCACTGATCACAGAGGAAACACGAGGAAACAGCGGAGCCACTGGATGGACAATAACTACCTTTCAAAATTAAAGAAACACGCAGGTGAATTTCTTCCTGTTGTCGTCAGAGTGATTCTCAGAAAAAGACTTGTGTTGGACACATGAAGCAGAGGATGGACATTTAACTTCTTCTTCTTCCTTGCTTGATGACCGGGGGAACTGTATGTGAGCGCTGGGTTTATGTCTGATGCAGATTTGTGGCTTCAGTTCAGTCTGACATTAGTGTGGAAGCTCAGCAACAATCAGGAGAACTCCTGACTTTCTTCTGTGACCACATCTTCCATCCTGTAGAATGGCAGTAAATGTGTGAAGATCAATTATGTGTTGGTGTGAATGTCACTGCTGTCCAGAGTGAAAGTGTTACTTGTGGATGTAAGGAGTTTGCTCATATGAAAAAAAAAAGATGTTAGGATGCATGTGTTGTTTTTTTGTTCTTTGCCTGTGTGGGTGTGAGCACAAAGACAGATGTGTCATGTCTGGTGGGCAGAGTTGCAGTTCGACGGTTGCCCTTTGGGAGGGCACAGCATCTCCTATAGGCCGTCAGAGGGAAGTTCGCTGCCGCCGGAGCCTGACTGGGCACGTTTGATGTACAGATTCAACAGCTTCAGCTGCAGACAGAACACAGAAGACGGACACGTCAGTGTTTGGTTTTAGAGGGAGGAGAACATTAAGTCACACAAATTATCCAGAAAAAAAAGTAATGAGGCGTTTGAGTACTGGTTCTGGGTTCCCATCCCTGGCTGATGAGGCTGGTGTTTTCTCACCTTGCTGCTGGACAGTTGACTGAGGTGCGGTTTGAGCTCCTCTCCAATCACTGCGTGTATGGCTACCAGGCAGAAAACGCACGCTTTCCTCACACTGCTCTCAGAGTTGTCATAACCCTGTGGTCAAGTAGATAAAACACATCATCAGACTACAGAGACATTTGTCCACGACAGAGGACTTTTTATACGAGGGCGTGCATTTTGCAGAACCAGTGATCATTATTAGCCTGAAGAGTTCCTGAAACAAATGAACCATACCCTGTAAGTCTAGCATCACAGCAGTGTGTGTGTGTGTGTGTGTGTGTGTGTGTTACCTGTATGAGCCCTGGCACAATCTCAGGCAGCAAGCCGCCCAGACCATCTCTGGGAATCCTCTCTACAACTTTGGTCTGCATCTTGATGGCAGCCAGGTTGATGGGGTAGTCAGCCGACTGGATGATGGGACACAACACCTTAATGCACTGTTCTGGACTGATAGACAAGGCCAACATGGCCGCCGTCTCCTCTGCCGCTCGCACCACCTGCAGAAACAAAAAATGAGACAAACATCTGAGGTGAGGATGGAAATGATTTCTCTATTCAATTTGATGCATTTATGATGTATTTTATTATAAAGAGCTGTTAAGGGATGCAAACAGAATTTGTGATGTTTGGGAATGATCTGTGCGTAGGCAGTCAGACCTCCTTGTGAGGGTCTTTGTGAGCCTCCAGGGCTTTCATGATGGTGAGCTCTGCGTAGTTCTTGAACCTCCAGGGCTGCTTGCTGAGAATCTCCCTCAGCACCCGCAGAGCCAGTGTTCGGATCACATGCTGGGAGAATCGAATCAATTTTGAGCGTTAAAAAGTGTTTTAGGTCTGGTCTATCAGCACAGCAGAAGAACAGAGTGTAGCTACCTCTCTGTCCCCCATCGTCTCCAGCAGAAGCAGCAGGATGGTTTTGAAATGTTCATCCCACACTTGCAGCGTGTTTTCTCGAATTAGCTTCAGCAGCTCACACAGCGCCGCCTTCCTCTCCTCTATCCGCTCGTTGTGATTCGACAATTCCTTCAGCAGCTCGGCCACCAGCTCCGACTGATCCAGACTGCTCTCTGGTGAGACGAGAGAATTCATTTCATTTTTATCGTTTTGCTTCATGCATCTCCAACACCCTACGTGGTTTGGTGGGAATTCATTGGTTTACCGTCTGTGAGAAGCTCGGAGTCGTCCAGGCTGGTGTCTTTACGGCCCTGTTTAAAGGGAGAATCACGAGCAGCTCGGGGGCTGGAGGACAGCAGGGGGGTGTTGAGGAGAGAAGTCTTGTTGTCCAGAGCCATGCGACCTCCGTCCATGAAGTCTGATCCCCTAATGTCTATCCCACTACCGCCCTGAAAGAAACGAGATCTAATGTTAGAGGCTAAAAGTTAAATGAAAAGTCCTACAAATATTAATTTAAAACATTACATTTATTTAAAATTCTGTACAGAAAGACAGGGGATCAAACCTTGTTTGTGTAAGGCAAGAGCACTAACCATATGACTCCCTCTAGCAGAATCACAGTGGCTTACAATTTTTAACCCTCTTTTTTAATGTCTGTGTAGGTTCTCAGTCATCCAGGTCATTTAATCCAAAAAATAGTTACATCGAAAGCAACTGGACAAAGTATATATATATATATTTTTTTGAAGACGTTTCACCTCTCATCCAAGGCTTCTTCAGTTCTGACTGACCACTGGGAAATTTGTTTTTAATGTTAATGTGTTCAGAAATCAACTGTATTTCAGGCATTAGAAAAAAACCCCAAACAAACGTTTAAGTTTAAACTGATGACCAGCTCTGTTTATATTTACACTCAACCTCTCAATGCAGACACAGACGGTGTAATTGGTGGTTTTTACGATTCGGGTGTGGTTTGATTGGCAGGTTACTGACAGGTGGGCTGCTTGGATTTCACATGCACCTCACATATGAAATGTCAGGAGGTCACACCTCTGTACTACAGTGCACCATGACCTTTAAAGTGGTCAGTGTTGTTGAGAGGGATGACTTGGTCTGAATAAGCAACACATTATAAAAAAGTTTTTTATGAGGAAACAGTATTAAAACACACTTTGAATACTGTGAACAAACATGACAGTTCAGTTACAGGTAGTAATAAAGATGACTGCTATCGTCATAAGCCCCACATGACTGAAATTTATGATGCTACCGAGAAGTGGGTCAAGATCGAGGGTCAGATGTCAGTGATGCAGTACACACACGGAGCTGTGTTGGTGATTTCCAGTGTGCAGTATGTGTTGACCTCTAAGAATTCTATTTAAAAAACTTAAGATGGAGCTCCACATATGCACTAACATGTGACGTACGCTCGCAGAAATCTTCCCTCTCTTTCACTCACCTCCTCTCCTTCCCTCCGATGCACAGGTTCGTTCATGTCTTCTTGGCTGCGAACACTGAAGTTCTGAATGGCCTCAGTGACACCTTTCAATGAACTGTAAATATCCTCCGAGTTCATGTTTTCTGTGTCGTAATCAAAAGCACTGCAGAGAAAAACAAATGGTTCAAGAATCAACACTGTTCTGGTTAATATTAATAAAAAATGTTATTCATTTACACAAAAACACAGATTTTGGATTATTAGAATTAAAAGTGCATCACTCTTGACATCAGGTGTAAGTAACATGATAACTTTGAATTTTAAACTTTGACTCGAAGACACACAGAATCAAAACAAGTCTGTCGCCAAACTGCGTATCTTGTCTTTTATTAAAGCTAACGGTCAATGATTGGTTTTTTGACAAACAGATGATTACCTTGGTGATGGCGTGTTCTGGGAGGTGTTTGTGGGTGAGGTGACCGGACTGGACCAGCTGGCCGGAGATCTGGGGGTGTGTCGTGTCAAAGGGCTACCCATAGTTGCCTGAGAAATGTAGAGGGAAGTAAGAGACATTACTGTCAAAGGATAACCATTAACAACACTGTGGGACACCTGAAACTCTTCCATGTCTTTCACCTGTGCAGCGTTGCCAGTGTTCTTAAGGTGGTTCTGGAGCAGTTTGGTGGCTCCGTCCTGAAATGTTTTGGGTAGAGCTGCTAGCAGCATGGTGAACTCTGGTGTGTTGAGCTGGAACAGGGAAATGAGCACCGCCTGTGCTGCCTGATGAGATTAAAATACATCCCTTTAACATCATTTTAAAGGAAGTTTGAATAATGATAATAATTCGAGGATATTAATTTTTAGAACTGTGGAAGAGCTGGAAAGATACAAGTATTTTTCTTTGTGTACTCGTAGATTCCATGTACCAATACTGATATGTCTTTAGATTGGGTTACAGTAAATGTGCAATGAACTGGAAGGCAGTGTTATAAAGGTGGCACAGCTGTCTAGGAAATGACTAGGACATCACCAGTTCAAGCCAAAAGGAAACAAATATTTCTTTAACAAAATATGGTGTTCAAACTGACACTTGAACGCATGTTAAAAAATGTGGATTTGTGCGTCTTCGTACCTTTCTGACGTCAGAGCTCTTAGGTTCAGTCGTCCAGGTGATGATGCGGGAGACAGCCAGCCGAGTCTCACTGAGGTTCACAAAGTCTGGCGCCTCCATCTGTAGTGTCAGAGTCTCAATGTACTTCAGAATGGCCACTTTCACCTACGACGCAAACACACGATTCATACAAACCGTTAGACAATCATGTCAATGTCACAGAAAAGAAGGAAATATTCACCTGCAAATACATTCAAAATATTACAAAACACAGAGGGAGAGGGAGCATCAGACAGCAGACACAACCACAGTGCAACTCCTTTATTGGTCTGAGAAACAAATGATTCGATGATGATCAGTGAGGGAGAACCAAAGTGCATTCATGTTCATGCTTCATCATTTACAAAACATAAAACTGACATGAAGGCAATGAGCAATGATGAAACAAACGAAACCATAAAGTCGACAATCAGCACAGACTCACAGCTACTGACTCCTGCCTTTCCTCTACGCCTCTCGCCATCAGCGCACCTCTACATACTGTATGCACCTCAAGGACCAGAACGTCCTCCAATTCACTTAGAAGCATCGTGCGCGCCATATAATTGCTCCCCCCGGAGCGCACTGACCTGGGAGGACTGGCTCCAGGCTGTAGCCTGCTCGTCTAGAGAGCAGGCGTGGCGGCGCGCTCTGGGGGGAAACAATTTAACATCCGCCCCTCCCCTGCCTTGCCCTCGCCCGCAACACGAGCTCCGCACAGGCTTCAGAGAGAAAGAGGAGAAGCACTGTGTCAATCAACGGAGACAGAGAGGGGGCACATTAGGGAAGGCAGGGGGGAGCAGAAGAACAGGACAAATTAAGGAGAAAGGATGGAGCAAAGAGTTTCAAAGGAAGGCAGGCATGCGGGATGGTAGTAGTCCTCATAAAATCAGTTTAGGCTTTGGCCACACGATGGCAACAAAGGGTCAATTCAGACTCAGCTATTGAAAGTTTAAAATGCTCCTTTAGGCCACAGTGTCAGTGACTTGTATGAGGATTAAACACCATTTCTGACATTAGCAAATGTAGGTTGAGTAAGTAACAATTTATTGGTTGTATTTGGAAAAGCAGGATCAGGAGCCAAAGGGAGTTAGGGGGGGGAAGAGGAAGCAGGAAAGTGGTGACAGGGTGAGATAAAAAGCGCGGATGACTTTGTAGAAAGCTTTGTGACATAAGATGCCGGTCTGACAGAAGGGATATGACAGGGATGAGAGGTATTAAGGATTAAGGATGAGGAGTTAGTTAGAGGAGACGAGCTTGTAGGGAGGGTCTTCACTGTGGATGGAGCCAGTGGATTGTGGCTACACTAACTGCTGTCCAATCACAGCCCAGGATTCAGGGTTTGGCGGGGTTTAGGAGGTGGAGCCAGCATGGGCAGGCATGAGGTCACATCATTACAACAGTTACCATGGTGACAGGTTCCTTAAAAATTCAAACCTAAAGGTCCATCCTTCCTGTTAACCATCTGCTTTATCAAACCTTCACACAAACACACACACACACGCAGCTGTCCATAACAGAAATAAACAAAACAGACACAAACAAAACAAGCTGTTCATTCACCTTGAGGTTTGGAGTCTGCGTCTGGTCGACTGTGAATCTCATCAGAATCGTGAACTGGA